AGTCAACTCATCTTTTAAATATATGTTCATTTAATAACCTGAAATAACATATAATAAGAGCTAAATGAGAGGAATGGGCATTGAACAGTGCAGACCCTGAGAAGGAGAGATTATAGAGTGTATTATCAGAGGAAGATCGCAGGGAGGCAACGAAATAGCCCAAAGCAGAAGTGGAATTTCCAGAAGAAGGAGGAAATGACACTCCTGTGGGGAAAACTGGGTGCAAAGTTCTCCCAGGTAGAAACCTGCATTGCCCTTTGGATGAGAGAAAGAGCCCAGAGGGGAAAATGCCTGGGGAGAAAAGGACTATAGAGAATCTGATTTGCAGGCTAATGATATTGGGGTACAGGTTTGGAAAACTCCCTTACATTTTAAAGAAAGTATCATAGCCTCATTCACATGTTTATAATGTAGCACTGTAGCACTGTCCTCCTGTTCGATTTGCTCGGGTGGACACCAGTAACATTTCCATTCTGAGACTTGTTGTTACTGCTTTTGGCATATAGAATACATCACAGGGAGCTTGCCAGGCTCTGCCATGCGGGCAGATACTCTCAGTAGCTTGCTGGGGCTCTCCGAGAGGAACGGAGGAATTGAACCCGGGTTGGCTGCGTGCAAGGCAAACGTCCTACTGGCTATGCTATCGCTCCAGCCCATGTTTGTAATAGTGTTACTATTTATAGTTAGGTTTTTCTTTTCTTTTTTTTTTCACTTTTTGGGTCACAACTGGCGATGCTCAGCGGTTACTCCTGGCTCATACACTCAGTAATTACTCCTGGTGGTGCTTGGGGAACCATATGGGATGCTGGGAATTGAACCCAGGTGGGCTGCTTGCAAGACAAGTGCCCTACCTGCTTCAGCCCTACTTATAGTTTTGATGTTTACAATGATCTCATCTCACTTCCATCAAAGTGTCCAGTGCCCACCACCTTTGTCCACCTCTGTCCACCTCTCTCTCTAGGCCACTTCCTTCCTTCCCTGCCCCCTCACCCCCACTGCTTGGTAATCTCAATTCTATAAACCCAGGCCAAGGGCTTGTCATTATTCTATACTGTCTAGCCCCCCCCTTTTTTTATTGAATCACCATGAGATACAGTTACAGACTCTCATGATTAAGTTTCAGTCATACAATGATCAAGCACCCATCTCTCCACCAGTGCGCATTTTCCACCACTAATGTTTCCAGTGAACATCTGATGCTAGCGTATGTGCATTGGATGACTCGAGTCATCCTAAATAGGATTGGCAGAACACTAGATGAAGGACAACCATGCGAGCAAGCAGGGTTCCGCAAAGGATTCAGCACCATCGACCATATCCACACAATAACCAAGCTCATTGAGGTTTCTCGGGAGTTCAAGATGCCGCTCTGTTTAACGTTCATTGATTTAAAGAAGGCCTTTGATTCTGTTGAGACGGAAGCGGTCATTGAAGCCCTAGCCAATCAGGGCATTCAAGCCCAATACATCAGGATCCTCCGTGAGCTGTATTGCGGATTCACTACCAGGATCTCACCATTCTACAAAGAAGTGATCGTTGATGTCAAGAGAGGGGCGCGGCAGGGTGATACCATTTCACCGAAACTCTTCAGTGCCACCCTCGAGAATATCATGCGATGACTGGGATGGGAAGGAATGGGAGTGAAGATAGATGGTCGGCAACTACACCACTTCCGCTTTGCTGATGACATTGTTTTAATAACACCAAACATCAGCCAAGCGGCACAAATGCTGGCCGACTTTGACCGTAAGTGTGGAAAGGTAGGACTACAGCTGAATCTTACGAAGACAATGTTTATGAGAAACAGCCTCGTTCCTGACGCCCCATTCGCTCTCAATGGAACGACCATCTCCGAATGCAACAGCTATGTGTACCTAGGTTGAGAGGTCAACATGACAAATGACCTGGCACCCGAGCTGTGCAGGAGGAAGAGAGCGGCTTGGAACGCCTTCAAGAACGTCAAAGAAATAGCTAAGAGGACGAAGAACCTCCGGCTCCAGGCACATCTCTTTGATTCCACTGTTCTTCCTGCATTAACATATGCCTCAGAGACCTGGGCGCTACGCAAACAAGATGAGAACGCTATTCAGGTCTCCCAAAGAAGAATAGAAAGAGCTATGCTTGGAATATCACGTTTCACTCAAATGAGAGAAAGAATCCGGAGTTCTGACATCCGTCGACGATCAAGAATCAGGGATGCTGTCTCATTTGCCAAGGTGTCGAAAATCAGATGGACTGGTTACGTAATGAGATTTAAAGACGACCGTTGGACTAGAGCTGTTACTGACTGGATTCCACGGGATGTCAAAAGACCGCGTGGCCGCCCACCTACCAGATGGTCAGACTTCTTCGTCAAGATCATGAACGATCGGTTTGAGGCCCTTCATGATCCCGGAGCGAAGAGATGCCATTGGGCTACACTAGCACGCGACAGGGACAAATGGAGACGTTACTGGCGCCCGCTCGAGCAAATCGACGACTAACGGGAAGTTAAGTGATTAATTGATTAAGTGAGTGAATGTTTCCAGTATCCCTCCTGCCACCCCCACCCCATCCCACCCCTGCCTCTGCGGCAGGCACCTTCCTTCTTACTCTTATTTTTGTAGCCCCTTGTTTTGTCTTTCTCATGATCACAGATGAGTAACATCATTCAGTTTTTGTCCCTCTCCTTCTGACTTTCTTTGCTAACTCAATATCCTTTAGTTCTATCCCAGTGAACTGGAAGACTGAATCTTTTCTTACAACTTCATCGAATGCCACTGTGTATCTATATCAGTTTATCCACTCATCTGTCATGGGACATTTGGGTCGTTTCCCTATCTTGGCCATTGCTCTAGGTGCTGCAATGAACCTAGGTGTGCGTATATATTTTCTAACTAATGTTCTTGTGTTCATGGGGTAGATGCCAAGATGTGAAATTGTCGGGTCAAAAGGAACCTCTATCATACTTTTTGGAGAAGTCTCCAAACTATCCTCCAGAGAGGCTGTGCCAGGTATCAGTGGATGAGGCTCCTTTTTCACCACATCAGCTTGTGGCTAGTGGCTAGTGGCTAATCAGTCTTTCTGATCTATGGCATAGATATACTAGCTTCCAGTGGGGGATGGTATATACTCTCTTCTGAAGGACATTTGCAGAGTCACCTTGGGGTTCTCTCAGGGCTCTCTTCCGTAGTTAACCTTCCTGTTCTTATTTCTGCCCTAAGAGCTCACCCCCGTGCTCTGAACAGTGTCATGTGTGCACGCCAGTCCTACTACTACTTGGAGCTTAGCCTGGGACGCTCTGTTTTCTCCTGGGGATTTCCTTTCTTGGTTGAATCTAAAGCCTAGCCACTGCTGCCAGCAGATCTGGTTTATGAAAAAGCCTGTGGCCCGGGGCCTGCTGCTTTGGTTTGTTCTGAGGAAACCCCAGATTAGCTCCACCCTCAGTGTCCAGCTCAGAGAGGCTGCACTCTTAGTTGAGAGGAAGAGTCCAAATAAGTACTGTAAGATCGGAACCCTAAATGCTTTCTCTGGGAAGAGCAAAGCTTCTTCTGTAAATCAACTCTAACAGTAATCTTTTTTTTTTCTGGTATCCAGAAATATTTTATTTATTTACTTTTGACATGGTTTATTTGTTTCTTCTTTTTTAAAAAAAATTTTTATTAGTGAGACACCATGAGGTAATCCTTTGTCCTCTTTCATTTCTTCACTCAAGAGCCTCTTTCCAGTCTTCTGACGCACCTGGAGGTAGAATTTTGATCCTACATAATTTTTTGGGGGGGTCGCATCCGGCAATGCACAGGGGTTACTCCTGGCTTTGCACTCAGGAATTACTCCTGGCGGTCCTCGGTCCTCGGGATATCATACGGGATGCTGGGAATCAAAACCGGGTCGGCCGCATGCAAGGCAAACACCCTACCCACTGTACTCCAACCTCAATTCTACAGAATTTTACTGTTACTTTTTGTGTACATATTAAGTAGAGGTGTATGTGTGTGTGTGTGTGTGTGTGTGTGTGTGAGAGAGAGAGAGAGAGAGAGAGAGAGAGAGAGAGAGAGAGAGAGAGAGAGAGAGAGAGAGAGAATGAGCACATTTTCAGGAGCTTCCGAGACTTGGACAAAATTGCAAGTACCGGCCATAGAGTTGCTCTATAAGGCTGTTTATTTATTACTCACAGAGGTAATGGTGAACAGTACATTGAGAAGTGGGGTGCTCTGAGAACCCAGAGGAGGGAGCAGAGGACCTCTTCAGGCTGTCTCCAGAAATCTGGGGTTCACAGATTCCTGGGGTTTGAAGGGCTGGAGGGTGAGGCCTGACTTGGTGGTCAAATAGCAGCCAGAATCCACAGAATTCAACTTGGCTTTATTTCTCTTTATTTCTAATTTGGATTCATGCATATAACCAATGCTTTTAATCTGTTTATTTAAAGGGCTTTGTGAAAATATATATCGGAGCACTGCTGAGGTTCTCAGGGGCTGAGAACCCCGAGCATCACTCGATGACACCTATTACACTTTTTAAAGTAAAATGCAGGCACTGGAGAGGCAGCACAGGAGGCAAGACGCTTCTGCCATGATGCCAGTTGGGACTCCAGCACCACATTTGGTCCCCTGAGCACTGCAGGAGTGATTCCTGCTAGTCCCTGAGCACCACAAGGGTGTAGCCACAAACAATGTCAGCATGAGTTTATACCACGTTAAGTTCACCAAAGTCCAATGCTATTCTTCAGCATGTGATTGAAAGTAAAGGAAATCTTTGACTTTGTGCCTTTCCGGTTGTGGCATGTATGTTGCCAGCACCAGCCGCCTTGATCTCTCTCCCTCTCTCTTTCTCTCCTTCTCTCTCTTCCTCTCTTTCTCTCCTCCTCTCCCTCCCTCTTCCTCCCTCCCTCCTCCTCCCCCCCTCCCTCCCTCCCTTCTTTCTTCCTCTCTCCTCCCTCCCTCCTCTGTCACACATGTCTTGGAGGTAATGTGTTTCTGAACCCACCAGGCTCTCCTCACTCTTGTCATCTTTCCTTGCAGAGTCCGGACATTCTCAGCACCTCTGGCTATGACAACATTATCCAGCATCTCAACAATGGCCGCAAGAACTGCAAGGAGTTTGAAGACTTCTTAAAAGAGAGGTACCCGTGGCTTTCTGTCTGGGCATATGTGGAGGGCAAGTGCTCTGCCACCTGCAGCAGGTTCCTGTGTTCTGTTTGAATAGTCCACAAGGAGGTTAGGGAGCAGATCCCCCTGAAGCTCAGCGTGTTTCAGAAGGTCTTCAAAAACCAGAGGGCCAGCACTGAGAATGGACAGCAAACAACAGACACGTTTTCTGGAAGTTCATCTTTTGTCATGCTACTCTTACGAAAGATCCGTGTTAGTATCTGTTTCCCATAATGGAAGGAAATCCGAGAAGGATTTTCTTCTTATGAAGCAAGGCAAAAGCAAAACTAGAGGCTGGAGTGATAATACAGCGGGGAGGGCATTTGCCTTGTCCACGGCCGACCTGGGTTCCATCCCCAGCACCCCATATGGTTCCCTAAGCTTGCCAGCAGTGGTTCCTGAGCACAGAGTCAAGAGTAACCCCTGAACATCACAGAGCATAACTCCCCAGCAAAAAAAAAAAAAAAAAGGAAAGTGAAACTAACATGTGTGTGGTATTGGCAGTGGCAGTAGTTCCAGATGTCAGGTGAGACCCCTCCCTCATCCCCACCAACTCCTGCCACCTCGCGCTTCTCTGCCCACGCATCTCACTCCTACTTTTCCTTGACATTGGTATTTTCTTGGGATTTATTTTATTTATTTTAGTTTTTCTTGTTTTTTTTTTTTGTTTTTGTTTTTGGTTCACACATCATGGTGATTCCTGGTTCTGTGCTCAGGGGTGACCCCTACGGGTGCTCAGGATGAGTGTGTGTGTGTGTGTGTGTGTGTGTGTGTGTGTGTGTGTGTGTCTGATTTGACTCTTGGACTGCTTACAAATGTTCCCTCTAAACAAGAGTAAGTGCCTTTAAGCCATTCCAGCTTACTGAAGGCATCACCCGGGGCTCTGGATTTTCAGGTGTCAGGAAAAATCTGTATAGTTCAAGTGTTTTTTCTTTATTTTTTTCTTTTTTTTTCCTTTTTAGCCACAACTGGCTATGCATAAGAACTACACTCCTGACTCTGTGCTCAGAGATCTCCCTGGCAGTGCTCAGGGAACCACATGAGATGTCAGAGATTGAATCCAGGTTGGGCTGCGTGCAAGGCAAGCGCCTGCCCACAGGACAATCCCTCCAGCCCCTCAACTCTAAGTTATGTGATATGAATAATACAGAGGCTACAGAGCAGAGGGAAACAGCGGAGGACAGACGCGGAGGGAAGAAAGGGCAGAAGGCAGTTGGTGGAGAAGGCCCGTGGAGTGGTCTGGAAGGGTGGGTGGAGCTGATGGTGGAGTGACACTGAAGAGTCTGTAGGACAGCAGCTTAGGGGGGAACATGGCACACCTGGTGAGGGGGAAGCAGCTGAGGAGGCAGCTGGCCTCGTGGTGTGGGAAACTGTCATCATAAGCAGAGCAGCATTTCCCGCTGGGCCCGTGTATGCCCTTGGACAGCTCCCCGTGGGCCTCGGGTCAAAATCACATTAAGTAGAGGTTATTCTTTTGTTAAATGATGAAGATCATTTAAGTTAATGGGGATAGTATTTCTGAAGTATGATATCCTTCTGGAACATTCCATTTCCCAGTGATTCTGGATTAATAGATATTTAGTTGGGCAGGGTGACTGCTGGTGCCCAAACACAGTTCACCCTCGTACAACAAACACAGTTGAACTATATGGGTCCACTTACATGCAGATTTTCTCATATACAGACACCGTGAAGTTGTAGTATGATAAATACGGTATGGTAAAGGAATCCTATTTGCTTTCTCTTCCCGGTCCCCTCCCCTCTCCTTTCCTCCCCTCCCCTCCCTTCCCCTCCTCTCCCCTCCTCCTCTTTTCATTTTTCCCTTTCCCCTTCCTGGAGGGCTTAGGAGACCTTTTGTGGTGCCAGGGATTGAACTCAGGTCAGCAACATGCAAGGCAAGAGTCTTACTCACTATGCTTTTTCTATGGTCCTTCCTTCTTTCTATCCTTCCTTTCTTCCTTCCTTCCCTCCCTCCCTCCCTCCCTCCCTCCCTCCCTCCCTTCCTTCCTTCCTTCCTTCCTTCCTTCCTCCCTTCACCTGTTCAGAACTTCTTCCCTTCCTGGTGGGGTACTTGCTGAAACAGTGGCTCTCTCTGAGGGCGTGTGTATACCCCCCAGCTCTGCCCTGTGAATGGGGAACTTCTGGGGAGCAGTGCAAATCTTCAGGTTTTGGGGCTTAGCCTTACCACTTGCTCTGGCAAGTGTGGGTGCTTGTGGAACCTGGGACTTATCCATTGAGTCTGGACCACAGTCTGACATGGTTGGAGCACCCCCGGGTCTGGACAAGAGCACTTTCATTAAGAGCGGCTGTTCTTTCCCTGGGGAGTTGGAGGGACTAGATGCCACATGGCACAGGGACAGTCTGGCACATGCGGTGATAATTTACTTTGCATTTACTAGATAATTAAATCATGCACGTAAACCGTGCCTGTTGTTTTCTTGTGCAGCATGGGGCTTGTCATGCTATCAGATGCAGTCACTGTCACTGTCACTGTCCTCCCATTGTTCATCGAGTTGCTCGAGCGGGCCCAGTAACGTCCTATTGTGAGACTTCTTGTTACTGTGTTTGGTATATTGAATGCTCTCGGTAGCTTGCCAGGCTCTCCGAGAGGGGCAGAGGAATTGAACCCGGCTCGGCCGGGCTGGCTGCGTGCAAGGCAAATGCCCTACCGCTGTGCTATCACTCCAGCCCACTCCACTGTGCTATCACTCCAGATGCAGTAGTTTTTAGGATTTCTGCCACCAGGGGCATGGTCCTAGGTGGGCCTCTTGGACATTTCTTGTAGCTCACTGTATCCAAGGAGCAGCAAAGGGAGGAAATGCAGCTCTTCATGTTGAGCTCCTGGCCCTTCATTCTCTCTGTCCCTTCCTCCTGGTTCCTCCCATCCCCTTGGTGATGCCCAGAGGCTCCGTGTACATGCATGTGGGGCATGCACTGATGCGTCTCTAAATGTCTGGGGGCGTGTTGGCTGATGCTCTGAGTGGGCAGGGCTTTCCTTGCCCCTCTACCTTCTTCCGGGGCCGCATCTCCTGCCTTTCTTCAGAGCTGGACAGCCCCCTCTCTCGAGCACCTTGATGCTGTACAAGACAGAACAGAGCAACCAAAAGCCATGAGAGATTGTCAGTGTGCATAGTTCACACCTGGTCAGCTGGAAAGGCATGGCCCAGAGCAGAGACAATCCCTGGGTCACTATATAGCATCACCCATCATCAGTATAGTATATTGAGCATCTGTGAGAGGCTCTCAGAGGACCTTTGTCTCATTTATTCCCGTAACACAGAGGTTAACACAGGTCCTGGAAGTAGTCTCTTGTCAACCATTGCTCAAAGTAACGTTCTTTCCATGTGGCTCTGTCAAGGAGGTGGATAAGTCTCCTTTGCCAGGGCACCTAAAGGCAACAGGATCCAGAAGTGCTCCAGGGACATGTCACCCAGATGACTCAGCCACTCCGGGCAGAAGGGCAGGTGGCTTTCTGGGGGAGGGAGGGAAGGAAGACGGGCATATGCCCAGCACAGTGAGGAACCCTCCCTCCCTGTCCTCCTGCCTCATACAGGCTGTTCATGATAGCTCACTCTTCCAGTCAACCCTACAGGTTTTGTAGTGAGCAGGATTTTCGGGGGGTCTCTGCCCTTTGCTCCACAATCCCTCACCCCCAAATAGCCTTTTCCAGCTGGAGAGATAGTACGGCGGTAGGGTTCTTGCTTGCATGTGGCCAACTGGGGTTGGATCCTTGCCACCCTATATGGTCTTCTGAGAATTGCCAAGAATGACCCATGAGTACAGAGCCAGGAGTGAGCCCTGAGCTCAGGCAGGTGTGGCCCAAAACCAACCCCTCCCCCAACAAAAAAACCTAACCAAACAAAATAGCCTTTCTTCTCCAAACCAGGCCAGGCCAATTTTCCACATCCTTGCAAGCCAGTCTAAACAGATTCCTCTTTCTTTCTTTCTGGTTATTTTGGTCACACCCACCGGTGCTCCGGGCTTACTCCTGGCCTTACTCAGGGCTTACTCAGGGATTTTTCCGGGCAGGGATTGAGAGACCATATGGGATGCCAGGGACCGAACTCTGGTTGGCTGTATGCTAGGCAAGTGCCCCCCCCACTGTGCTATTGCTCTGACCCTTATTTCTTTCTTCAAAGGAAGCATTATACATAATACCCCAGCATGCCATCTTCTACTGCTCTCTATTAAAATAAGCCTATCTTGGGTTCAAAGCTGGGATTCAAATGGTAGAGCACATGACATGCACATGTGAGACTCTGAGTTCAAGCTTGGGCACCACCAGGAGTGGCTCTCACAACTGACAGCAACAACAACAGCTCAACCAAGCCCACCTTGTTACTGGGAGCACAGTGCTGTCCCTGGGAACGCAGGTGGGTCAGGCATTGCATATAGAGCTCCTTGTATGAGCAGATGGTACCTCAGGGTGAGTCAGGAGATTCAGTTTATAGCTGCCATGTACTGAAAGTTTACCTGATACTGTCTGCCATGTATTTTGCATGTGTTACCTAATTGAGTTTGCACTCAATGGGCACTCAGGTAGTAGGGAATGTCGAAATCACTTCCCCAGGATTATAAAATCATTCAGTAGAGAAGCCTGGACTTCCCTTAACTTCACACCAGGTAATGTTCCCACTTTACCCAATGGTTTGCTAAAGAAGGGTGGCAGTATTTTGTAAGGGTTTCCCACCCCACCCCCCAGGAACCTGACAGCCTGTTCATTTCCCTTAACTGTGCTGCAACAGGGAGGGAGGAGGGGTGTGCTTGCAGATCCCTGCACCCCGGAACTCTACAGGACTTGTAGTGAGTGGCTACACCTCTGATCTGGGCATTCCCCAGCTCTTAGTTCTCTTCCCTGGAGAGTCCTGTGGCTCGTTTGTCGGGCCTGGCCAGCTTGCTGTTGTGACCACTGTCATTCTGGGGTCCTTGCAGTGATCAGCTATTGTCCCAACGATCTGGTGGTTGGTAGGCTGAGGTGGGAATGACTGATTCCCCTGGGCATCAGTACTCTGCAGCCAACCAACCTGGTCTTTCTAAGCTGCACAAGTCTCCTAGGACAAAGCCTGTGGCTTAAAACAGCAGAAATATGGGCTGGATAGATAATATAAGGATTAAGGCACTTGTCTTGATGCTGCTGGTGATCATATGTTATCCCTGACATAACATATGATCACATGAGCATCTCCAGGGCACAGAGTTAGGGGGTGAGCATTGTGACCAAGAGTGTGAGCACCACAACCATGTGCCAGGAGACCCCCATCAGCACCCCAGATAAATGTGCAAGCGCCACAGACAGGCATGGTGGCAACATCAGCATCGTGGGGCAGGTGGGGAGTGGTCATCATGAGGAAATAAAACCCATGAATAAATGAATCATGGGGGTGGGAGGAGGGTTGGTGAAAACAGTGTGTTAGAAACACAAATGAAGTCAAACCACATAAACAAGAGTGCAACAGAGCTGAGGGCCTCATGTTGAACAGCTGAAACGGACCAACCTTGGGGCCGTGGAGATAGTACAGGGGCGGGGGGGGGGTCAATCCCAGTTTGATCCCATTTTTGATCTCCTGACCATCACCAGGAGTGATCCCTGAGTACAGAGCCAGGAGTAAGCCCTGATCACTGAGCCATAGTAAGTCCTGAGCACTGCCAGGTGTGGCCCCCTAACCAAAAAATAAACGAAATTTAGCAATGGCTTTCAATGGGGGTGAACAGTGAGGATGGGAAAGGCAGGATGGGGGACTTTTGAGTTTTGTTCCATGTAATGTTGCTTGAATCTTTGCAGTGAAGCTATGTTCACTTACTGTGCATTCCTTTACTTTGAAGAAAGAAGTTGGGACTCAGGAGTCTGATGTCCTTAGGCTAATAGCTTGGGTTTGACAAGGTTGGGGCTGGAGCGCAACATAGGATAGTGACACACAGCAGTGGGAAGGGGGAAGTGTGGGAGAAAGAGGCTATTAATGCTTTTTTTTATTTTAATTTTTTAAAACTGAATCACTGTGAGATATACAGTTGCAACACTATTCACAATAGCCAGAATCTAGAAACAACTTGAGTCCCCAGAACAGACGACTGGTTAAAGAAACTATGGTACATCTACACAATAGAATACTATGCAGCTGTTAGGAAAAATGAAATCATGACATTCGCTTATAAATGTATGGGCATGGAGAGTATCATGCTGAATGAAATGAGTCAGAAGGAGAGAGACAGACATAGAATGACTGCACTCATTTGTGGGATATAAAAACCATAGTATGAGACTAATACCCAAGGACAGTAGAAACAAGGGCCGGGGGGACTCAAGTGCTGGGGGAGAAGGCCACTAGGATAGAGAAGAGACAACTATGGCAATGTCAGTGCTTTCAACAGAATGAATTTAGGGGTTTTTTTGGGGGGGGTCACACTGGCCCTGCGCAGGAGTTACTCCTGGCTCTGCACTCAGGAATTACTCCTGGCAGTGCTCAGAGGGACCATCTGGGATGCTGAGAATCAATCCAGGTTGGCCATGTGCAAGGCAAATGCACTACCTGTTGTACTATTGTTACAACACCCTAGACTAAATTTCAGCAAGGATCAACCAGAAGTTTCTGTGAGACACAACAGTCTCAGGCTTTAGACTTACATCTTCCTCTTGGGGGTCCAGTTTGTGTATTTGAATTGACTATGAGTGGGAAGCTGTAGCTTCTCTTGGAGAAGAAGGAAGAAGAGGAGGAGCGGAGGTACAGAAGTGCAGCATTTGAGGAAAATATCTTTTATTCCTCTTTAGTAGATATATTAATCGTCGATTTGCTCGAGCGGGCCCAGTAACGTCTCCATTGGAGACTTTGTTGTTACTGTGTCTGGCATATCGAATACTCTCGGTAGCTTGCCGGGCTCTCCGAGAGGGGCGGAGGAATTGAACTCGGGTCGGCCATGTTGGCCGCTTGTAAGGCGAACGCCCTACCCGCTGGTCTATCGCTCCAGCCCAGATATATTAATATCCAGTATATTTAGTATAATGTAGTCCTATATATGACTCTATTGTCTGTAGTACACTAGTCTATGTGAATATGCTTTATTATATTATATCCTCTCAGAGAGCCTGGAAAACTACCGAGAGTATCTCGCCTGCATGGCAAAGCCTGGCAAGCTACCCATGACATATTCGATATGCCAAACACAGTAACAAGTCTCACAATGTTTCTGGACCCGCTTGTGCAAATCGATGAACAATGGGGGGACAGTGACAGTGACTATATTATATATCATTGCATCTCTACCCCTTTCCTTAGACTGCAGCTGTGCTATCCTGCACAGCTCTGGGGGCCAGACTGACTTCTGCAGTCATGCCTACACTAACACTCTGAGCTCGAGGAGACCCCTAAGAGAGATGGAAGGACTTGGTCTTCTCCAGTTCTTCCCTGTTCCACAGAGAGTATTTCATATCTTAGACGCAGTGTTATAGTTGAGCATCTACTTGGCATGATGCAGCTCCTTCATGGGAGCGCCATGTGTCACTGCATCAGCTCTGGGAAGCACTCAGACATTCTCTTCTGTCCCCTTTAGGGCGTCAATTGAAGAAAAGTATGGCAAAGATCTGCTTAACCTCTGCAGGAAGAAGGCGTGTGGACAGTCGGAGATCAAGTAGGTGCCTCTGTCTTTCTGGCGGCCAGGGATGCTGATTCTTTCGGGGAACCCCCATTGCTCCAGCCAACCTGGTTGGCCAGTGATGCAATGTGATAGGTGAAAAAAAAGTTTATTATTGGGGCTGGAGAGATAGTGCAGGAGGGAGAGAGCACTTGTCTTACATGCAGCTGACACCAGTTTGATCCCCAGCAGCACCCGGTTTGGTACCCCAGGCATTGCCAGTAGTGACCCTTGAGCACAGACCCAGGAGGATAGCCTGAAAACTACCAAATATGGTCTTTAAACCAAAGAAACCTCTCCAAATCTATATTTTTTTACCTTGCAGTTTTTTTTCTTTCTGGGTCACACCCAGCAACGCACAGGGATTACACTTGGCTCATGAACTCAGGAATTACTCCTGGCGGTGCTCAGGGGACCATGTGGGATGCTGGGAATTGAACCCGGGTTGGCGGCATGCAGTGCGCCCTACCCACTGTGCTATCGCTCCAGCTCTCCCCCCACCCTTTTTTTCCAGTTTGAAAAAAAATGCAAAAAAAGTTTGTGAACTGTGAAGCCATTGCTCATGTTTTTTTCCCTCAGTTTTTCTTAAACACCTTTTCTTTTATTCTTTTTCTTTTTTTTCTTTTTGGGTCACATCCAGAGATGCACAAGGGTTACTTCTGGCTCACGCACTCAAGAATTACTTCTGGGTGCTCAGGGGACCATATGGAATGCTTGTGCAGGCAAATGCCCTACCTACTGTGCTATTACTCCATCCCCTTAAAGACCTTTTCTTAATTAAAAATTGATGATTTATTTTTGAGTTATACTTGGCTGTGTGCAGGGTTTACTCCTGGCTCTGTGCTCAGGGATCATTCCTGGCAGTGCTTGGAGAATCTATATGGGGTACCGAGGATTGAACCCTGATCAGCCACATGTAAGGCAAGTACCCTACCTGCTATAGTATTGCTCCAATAAAGACTTTGCTATGTGTGTTCTTTCATGAGGCAGGGTATCATAAGTTCACATGAGAAACTTAATAGCCAGCCTTCAACCTATATAGAAACATCTATGTACATATATACATATACATATACTACAAGGGGGTGCAAAGATATTCTCATGCAGTTACTGTGAACTATATATACATACTATATATACTATAGTATATAATATATATTTTATATAGTATATATATATTTTTAATTTTTATTAGTGAGACACCATGAGGTACAGTTGTAGATTTACAAATTTTTGTGCTTGGGTTTCAATTATACAATGATCAAACACCGATATCTCCACCAGTGCCCATTTTCCACCACCACGGGTCCCAGTATCCCTCCCACCCCTCATCCCCCCATCCCACCCTGCCTCTGTGGCAGGGTATTCTCTTTTGTTCTCTCTCTCCTTTTGGGTGTTGTGGTTTGCAAAAGAGGCATTGAGTGGCAATCATGTTTGGTCTATAGCCTACTTTCAGCATGCTTCTCCCATCCTGGGAGGATCCTCCCAACACCCTTTATTTGGTGCTCCTTTCTCTATTTGAGCTCCCTTTTCCCCATACTCAGTATATATACTACATATAGTACATATACTATATATACTCAGTATATATACTATATATTACTATATATATTATATATATAGTTCACAGTAACTACATGAGAATATCTTTGCACCCCTTTGTAGTTCCCTCTGCCACTTTGAGCTTTCAGTGACTCCTTCCTTTATTCCAGGAAGGTGCATGAAGGTGCCATGGTGTCTAGTGGTGCTCATACTCCTCACTCAAAGGGTGGGCTTCATGCCCAGCAGAGGGGCTTCTGCTTAGAATGGAGTTGTGGCTGATTTCTTGCTCTCTGCTGCTGCTGCTGCCTTGGAATCCTCAATAATCCATAAGCAAGCTTCCATGTTTCCATTATGCAGTGGATCTTGCGAGTTTCAGAGCCGCTAGACTCACGTGGAGAGTTCTACACATGCTGGCTGAGGGAGGTTTGGGAGAAATAGTTTGGGCATGTGTTGGTGGGTGCCTGCAGAACCAGTCGCCTCCCATGCTGACCTGCACACTGCTTCCCTGACACCCTGCAGTCTTTGCCTTTCTCAGAGACACAGATGAGGTGGGTACTGCACTTCCTCTTCTCTACTAATATGCTCAAATACTCATTCACATACATGAACACACATATACACAAGCATGCGAGTTGCTCTCACACACATTCGTCTCAGTCTGGCTTCTGCAAGTTTTGTATCATTGAGGAGGGAGAGAACATTGGAAGATATTGAAAAGATCATTACACAACCCTAAAATATGTGTTCTCTTCAGACACAGGACAACCAGTCCCAGTTAGCATATTTTCTTTTGGTTTTGGTTGGGGGTAGTTCAAAGGGCTGGACTGGAAAGCATGTTCTCAGGCCCTTTGGGCCATCTCTTCCTCCCCTCCCCTGCCCTCCTTCTCCGTCTCCCTCTCTTTCTCTCCCTTTTCCTCTCCCTCTCCCTCTCCCTCTCCCTCTTCCTCTTCCTCTTCCTCTCCCTCTCATTTTCTCTCCATACTCAATTGTGCTTGGTATTTACTCCTGGCTCTGTGCTTAGGGATCACTCCTGGCTTCCTTGTTAAGACACTACTTCCCATTTCTGAAACTGAAATTCTATGTTTGTTTTTAGCACCCTGAAGCGGGCCCTGGAAGTCTTCAAGCAGCGTAAGTGATTCTGTATAATTGACTGTCATTGACATGTCTGTGTCTGTCATCACAGGCGGGTATTTCTTTGCACAGCAATCTCAAATTAGGTGGGAGGAAAGGGGAGAGCATCTCTGATATAAGGGATCGTGTTGTGTGGAGGTGGCTGGCAGACCCCTGCACCCCCTCTGCTCACCTCTCCAGGCCAGGCCCACCCCTCAATCACCTGGAGGTGAACTACGCAGACAGCTTGCTGGGTATGGTCATCCGCAGAGTGTGCAGGGGCTGCTGGTCCAGGAAGGACTTCGGGAACTTCTGGTGCCAAGGCTATTCTTTCTTGTTGAGCTCTAACTGGGATCCTTGGCACTGCCTGTTCTCCTTATGCCCCCCAGGAATTGAGCTAGGAATAGCCCCTGGGCACTACTGGGTGTGGTCAAAGTATAGAACCCACATCCAGTCATCTTAAGAATGATTTTCATGTATGAACATATGACCATTGCTGAATGTTTCCATCACTGATCGAATGGTCCTAGACTGTGGCGAATGTTAGAGCAAGAAAAATTTACCTAAACTTTTCTATGCAAGGGTCTTCTCACTTCTTCACCTCATCAGTGAAACACACAGTGCAGTTCATGAGAACTTCAGGGGTCCCCTAAACATATATGCCTGCAGTTAATGTACTTGTTTTCTGAACAAGTTTTCTGAATTACTGCTGCAGTGCTCAGGGGACAATATAGGATAGTGTGTGTGTGTGTGTGTGTGTGTGTGTGTGTGTGAGTGTGTGTGACATGTGCAAGCACAGTACCAGTGATCAAATCCAAGTTTCAAACATTTGAAGCATATGCTTTACCACACGCACTCCCCTGCCTGCCAATTTGCTTGTTTTCTCCTTCCTTTCCAAATAGTTTTACTTTCTTCTTATTAAGATCACTGTCACTGTCCTCCCGCTGTTCATCGATTTGCTCGAGCGGGCACAGTAATGTCTCCATTGTGAGACTTGTTAATGTGTTTGGCACATCGAATACATCACGGGTAGCTTGCCAGGCTTTGCCGTGTGGGCGAGATACTCTGGTAGCTTGCTGGACTCTCCGAGAGGGGCGGAGGAATCGAACTTGGGTTGGCCGTGTTGGCCACTTGCAAGGCAAATGCCCTACCCGCTGTGCTATTGCTCCAGCCCTTATTAAGATAATTTACCTAAAAATATATCTTTGTCCTTAAGAGTCAAATGAAACAGCTAACTGTAATGATGGTATTAAACACCAAGTTTACGCTTCTTAGTGAAAGCAGTATGGGTAAATATATACTCAGATATTCTTATGCAGTTAAATACAGATTCATATAACTAGATAGGATGATACTATGGTAGTGTTTTTAAATGAAAAATCATCATGACGACGATCACGACCACCCTGTTGTTCGTCGATTGCCTCGAGCAGGTGCCAGTAACGTCTTCTTCGTCCTAGCCATGAGATTTTTTTTTTTTTAAAGTGCCATATTCAAGGCTTTTTCAGGGTTAGGAGAATGAGACCCATCATTGTTACTGGTATTTGGTATATATATATTTGGTATATATCAACATTTAATCACTTCGCTATTTCTGTATGTATCTCTCCGACCCTTAGCAATTATTTTCCTTAACAGTCTCTCTTAGTTGCAGACATTCACACAAAATAGACATTAGTATTTATATAAATGAGATTATACTTCTCTCTTTAAATTTGCTTTGTTTGTTTTTGAGCCACACTGAGTGGTGCTAGGTGGACTTTTTGGAACTAGAAGTTGACCCCAGGGCCTCACACATGCAAGGCACGTGCCCTCCACTGAGTCATATTCTTGACCTCTATAGGTTTATTGTTTTTACTTAATATATCGTAGTTATTGCAATTCATATAGATCTGCCTCATTATTTTTTTCCTCATTCTTTTACATTAGATATTTCTAATTTCAGGGGGTGGAGGTAATGACTCATGGGGCTGGAGTCCAGCTTGCATACAGGCATCTGAGTTCACTGCCCATCCCACATGATTGGTTCTTGAAGCACCACATGGTCCCCTGAGCACCACCTAGAGTGCCCCTACACAATGCTGAATTTCTTCTAGAAAGAGTGTACTGATTTACTCCCTCTAGTATTGCTATATTCCCCAGGATCACCAACACCAAGATTTTTCACACTTTTGAAGTGTGGCCAAACTGAAAGGCAAACAATCATTTTACTTCTGGGTTTTAAAATTTTTCATTTTTTTTCAATAGTTCTTGGGCCACATGTGACTGTGTTTAAGGCTTACTCCTGGGTCTGTGCTCAGGAATTACTTCTGTTGGTGCTCAAGGGGTCATATGTGGTGCCAGGGATCAAACCCAGAACAGTGTTATATAAATTAAGTGCCTTAACCAAGGTGATATATCCTTCTGATTCCTTTTTCAAGTGTTTCAAGACAAAATTTCAAGAGCCTGGTGTCCATTTAAACTTTTCATTTTTTTCATTTTCATTTCATCATCCTGTTATTTGTCGATTGCCTCGAGCAGGCCCCAGTAACGTCTCTTTCATCCTAGCCCTGAGATTATATTCAAGGCTCTTTAGGAGAATGAGACCCATCATTGTTACTGGTATTTGTCATATTTGGTACGCCACGGGGAGTTTGCCAGACTCTGCCTTGTGGGCAGGCTACATTCGATAGCCTGCAAGTTTGTCCAAGTAGGAATGAGATAATAAGATGTCATAAAAAGATGTCTTGATAAGATGTCGCGCGGCTGCATTTGCGGCCGCGCGGTTCCAGGAGCTGGATTTTATAGTCTCTGAGTCTTGGCCGCTGATGGGATTACACAGCGCCAGGGGGCCAGGTGGTGGGTGTGACCCCCGCCTACTGGAATTTGGAGGATCTGGGTGGAGGATGCTCGACTCCAATCCGAGTAGGCTTAGAGATCTCGACCCCGGAACCCGCGTGGCTTTGTCCCTCTGCCAGTACCTTCATGTGTGCGGAGAGAGGTCTCGGCATGGTGGTGGCTGGTCCTGGAGGTCTTCGGCTGCCGGAGCCCTGGTCGGGGTGGGGAGGAAAGCTCAACCCGCTCCCCTCCAAGGGACCCCGGCGAGGAACAGCCAAACGCAGGGGCAGGAGACTGCACTGGTCTCGTCCGGGAGCTGGATTTTATAGTCTCTGAGTCTTGGCCGCTAATGGGATTACACGGGATTTAAACTTTAGCACATTTTAAAATTTAGATTATTTAAAAGATTTAATTTTAAAAGGTTTTATTAAAGAAACTATTAACATGCAAAATTATTGATAGTTTAGTTATATTTATTTATTTTAATTTTTTGTTGTCACACCCAGTCATGCTCAGGAATTACTCCTGCCGTGCTCAGGGGACAATATAGGATACCAGGGATCGAACCTGGGTTGTTTGGCCTCATTCAAGGCAAGTGCCCTACCCATTATCTCTTTGGCTCCAGTTGAGTTTTAACCATAAAATGTTCTAGCACCAATTCTACTACCAGTGTTGGCTTCCCTCCATCAGTGTTCCTAAGTTGTCTTCCTCCCCGCCACTACCACTTGCCACCTTAACAGGCATATTAAAATTTTTTTTAAGTTAAAAAAATGTTTTAGCAACAATGAGATATCATTTCACACCACAGAGACTGGCCCACATCCACAAGAACAAAAGCAACAGGTGCTGGCGCGGATGTGGCGAGAAAGGGACCCTCCTTCACTGCTGGTGGGAATGCAGGCTGGTCCAACCCTTTTGGAAAACAGTATGGACGATTCTCAAAAAATTAGAATTCGATCTCCCATTTGACCCAGCTATAGCACTCCTGGGAATATATCCCAGAGAGGCAAAAATGTATAGTCGAAGTGACATCTGCAATTGTTTGTTCATTGCAGCACTCTTTACAATAGCCAGAATCTGGAAAAAACCTGAGTGCCCGAGAACAGATGACTGGTTAAAGAAGCTTTGGTACATTTACAAAATGGAGTACTATGTAGCTGTTAAAAAAGATGAAGTTATGAAATTTACATACAAGTGGTACTACATGGAAAGTATCATGTTAAGCGAAATGAGTCAGAAAGAGCGGGATAGACACAGAAAGATTGCATTCATCTGGGGAACATAAAGCAACAAAACGGGAGACTAACACCCAGGAAGGGCTCAGATTAGTACCAGGAATTTTGCTCCATAACTTGAAGGCCAGCCACATGTGCTAGGTGAGAAGGAAGCTCAGATAGAGAAGATAGCACCAAATAAAGGGTGTTGTGAAGACCCTCCCAGGGTGGGAGAGACATGCTAAAAGTGGTCTATAGATCAAACATGACTGCCACTCAATGCCTCTCTGGCAAAACACAGTACCCAAAAGAAGAGAGAGAGAACAGGGAGGAATGCCCTGCCACAGCGGCAGGATGGGACGGGGCGGGGGGGATGGGGGGTGGGAGGGATGCTAGGACCCGTGGTGGGGGAGGATGGGCACTGGTGGAGGGATGGGTACTTGATCATTGTATAACTGAAACCCAAGCACAAAAATTTATAAGTCTATAAGTGTACTTCATGGTGTTTCACTAATAAAAAAAATAAAAAAATAAAAATCATGTTAAAAAGTAAAAAAAAAGATGTTTTAGCCTGGAGGGGGCTGGAGCAATAGTACAGCGGGTAGGGTGTTTGCCTTGCACGCGGCCGACCCGGGTTCAATTCCCAGCATCCCATATGGTCCCCGAGCACCGCCAGGAGTGATTCCTGAGTGCAGAGCCAGGAGTAATCCCTGAGCATCGCCGGGTGTGACCCCCCGCAAAAAAAAAAGTCAAAAAAATTTTATAGCCTGGAGAGATAGAAAGGGTTGGAATTTTTTATTTATTAATTTATTTTTGGGCCACATCTGTGATGAACTGAGGTTATCTCCTGAGTGCTTGGGGAGGGGTGGTGTCTCCTGCATACAAAACACATGCTCCAATCCTTTGAGCCCTTTCCCCAGTTCTAAACTTCAATTTCTTTTGTTTGTTTTTGGGTCAAACCCAGCTATGCTCAGGACTTACTCTGGGCAGGGCTCAAGGGACCATATGGGGAGCATTCAAGGCAAGTGCCTTACCTGCTGTATTATCCCCCCCCCCAAGTTCCACATCCTTTAACCCATTTTCCCATTTTTATTTCTTTTTTTTTTTGGCTTTTTGGGTCACACCCAGAGATGCACAGGGGTTACTCCTGGCTCTGCACTCAGGAATTACCCCTGGAGGTGCTCATATGGGATGCTGGGAATCGAACCCGGGTCGGCCGCATGCAAGGCAAATGCCCTACCTGCTGTGCTATCACTCCAGTCCCCCATTTTTATTTCTTACTCAACCCAGTGATTCTTGGGTATTACTTCTGGCTCTGCATTCAGGAATTGCTCCTGGTGGGGCTCGGGGGACCATATGGGATCTGGGGATCGAAGCCGGGTTGACTGCATGCAAGGCAAATGCCCTTCCTATGTATTGTCACTCAGGTCTAGTCTTAATCCATTTTTAAATGCCCTGTGAGCCCCAGTCCCACATATGTGGTGCTTGGTCACCACAGAAATTTTCTCTTTAGCTTTATTATTTTACATTTTAGAACAGACTTAAATGTTTATCTGTTAGGATCCATTTGAAGTTGTGCTGGGTTCAGTAATGTCTTCGCTCACGAGGACTCTATTTGCTATGGTTTTGGCTCTTTCTCTGCACAGTTAGCTCTGGTGGGAGGCAGGTGGGGTTCTAGCTTGGTCTTGGTGGCCAGGGCCGTGGCGGGGTCACAGAGGGACTCAATCAATGTTGTTGTCCACATATGTCCATTTTAGCACTTACTCTGGTGTCCCGGACAGGTTTAACATTTTTTGTGTGGTTTTGCACGTTGAAATTCAACCAAGGGTAGCCCTGACTCATTGTTGGCGTTTAAAAAATTCCTTTTCCAGAACTAGACAACGTGGCGCAATGTCACATCCACCTTGCACAGACTCTGAGGGAAGAGGCCAAGAAGATGGAAGAATTCAGGGAAAAGCAAAAGCTCCAGCGGAAGAAGGTAGGTGTGGTGCGTGGTCAGCCAGGTGGCGCTTCTGCTCATTTGCTGGTGGCCCACCCCTGCCCCGGCTATGCCTCTGTGTCCTCTGCACCCCACGCAGTCCTGTTTCAACTCTTGGCACTACCCAGGGGTTAGAAGTGCCTTTTTTCTTTTTTTGTATCTCCAGCTGTGCTTCAAAATTTGGAAAGGGGGAAACAGGCCTCCTGAGTTTTGTCTTCCTGTTTTTTTTTTTCTATTTATTGACTTGGCAGTGGGGAGGGGGAGAGGACAAGGAAGAGGCCACCATGACAATGTCTTTGTCTTTAGCAGGCGCTATACTATACAAGCTGGAGGGGCTCCTGGGCCATACTCTCCTTTTTGGGTAAGGTGGCCAGAAAAAGTAAGAAATGAAAGAAAGTTTCTCCAGTCAATCAAAGAAAGATTGGAGATTTTCGTATCATCTACCTTCTCCCTTATTTTATGCATGGGGAACTGGGGAAAGGGCTCTAAGAACTGGAGCGTGTATTTTGTAGTCAGGAGGCCCCCCAAGCACTCAGGGGATAATAACCTCAGATCATCACAGATATGGCCCCAAAATAAATTAGCACTGTAGCACTGTCCTCCCGTTGTTCATCAATTTGCTCGAGCGGGCTCCAGTAATGTCTCCATTGTGAGACTTGTTACTGTTTTTGGCATGCCGAATATACCACGGGGAGCTTGCTGGGCTCTGCCGTGCGGGTGGATACTTTCGGTAGCTTGCTGGGCTCTCCAAGAGGGGCGGAGGAATCGAACCCGGGTTGGCCACGTGCAAGGCAAACGCCTTACCTGCTATGCTATCGCTCCAGCCCATAAATTAATAAACAAAAAATTCCGACCCTTTCTATCTATCCAGGTTATAAAATATTTTTAACTTAAAATTTTCTTTAAATATGCCTGTCAAGGGCTGGAGCAATAGCACAGCGGGTAGGTGCCTTGCACGCAGCCAACAGGGCCGACCCAGAGTTCGATTCCTCCACCCCCCTCGGAGAGCCCAGCAAGCTACCGAGAGTATTTCGCCCGCACAGCAAAGCCTGGCAAGCTCCCCGTGACGTACTCGATATGCCAAACACAGTAACAACAAGTCTCACGATGGAGACGTTACTGGGCCCGCTCGAGCAAATCGATGAACAACGGGAGGACCGTGTGATGAGACTGAGGCCTTGAGAGATCAACTCCTTTTCATCTTCAAAGGTGATGGTACCTCTATGTTTTTTTCATGGGTGGAATTTATTCTTGTTAATCATAATGAGAGACATGAGCATAAAGGTGGCAAGGGTTCCTAAAAATGGCCCACATTTGGGAAGTTAGAAGGATCGAGAAACCATAAATCTAGATGTCGAGGGAAGTGTTAACTTTGGTCAGACCAGACACTATTCTGATATCCTTCGGTTTTGTTTGTGAAAGATCTATATATTCCGGTTGCCCTGGCAGACACAATTAAGGCCCGTTAGGAGTTAAAAATTGTTTTAAAATTGATCTGTTTGGGGGGGAGGTCACATCTAGCAGTATTCAGAGCTTACTCCTGGCTCAGTGCTAAGGGATCACTCCTGGTGGGGCTTGGGAGACTATATGTGGTGCCAGGCATTGGACCTGAGTCAGCAACGTGCAAAGCAAGAACCCTATTTACTGTATTGTCTGTCTCTCTTTTGAAGTTTTTGTATCCAAGGTTGGAGTCTTTACGTGGGCGAAAAGTTTTTCCTGTTTGGTGTCTCATATAGCTGTGTGTGGGCTTGAGAAATTCTTTCCCATGTTTCACCATTCCTTGGGCATTGCAGGTGCTATTTTATCAGTCAGCTGGGGGAGTCCAGTTAGATTGATTGTACCCAGAATGAAGTCACAGCAGCTTTGTGGTTCTATGTGCAGTGCTAGCCTGCAGGAAGGATGGGGGAGGGACACTTGGCATTTGAGGTTGAGTCTTAGATGTGGTGAGTGACCCCGTTCCTGTTCCTTCAGGGATCCCCAGGGCAGATTCAGCTCTTTAGCTGGCCAGGCACACACCCTTTGCTCTTCTCACTGCTCGGTGGGACCTCCTCCCAGCTCTGAGGAAGAGGACTGCCTCCCGCTAACAGTCAGCCCTGCTAACAGTCAGTCCTGGGGCACCTGCAGCTGCACAGCGGCCCCTGCCAGAATCCTCCAGCCAGTCCTTCAGGCTGCCTGCTTGCCAGCAAGCACACAGCCTCTGCAAACAGCAAGCAGTGTCAGCATGGAGAGGCTCTGTAACCGGTGCTCTTACACAGACTTGCAGGCTTTATCTCCCAGCTCTGAGGGCTGCAGCTGGCCTAGACAGTCTTCTCAGAGTGGGAATATTGGGGCTGGGGCGATAGCACAACAGGTAGGGCATTTGCCTTGTACGTGGCCAGTCTGGTTTTGATCCCCAGCATCCCATATGGCCCCCTGAGCACCGCCAGAAATAATTCCTGAGTGGAAAGCCGTGAGTAACCCCTGTGCATCGCCGGATGTGACCCAAAATGCCAAAAAAATAAAATAAAATAAAGAAAAATCAGAGTGGGAATATTATGTGTGTGACCCCACGGGAGGGTCTGAGTCTGTTTGGGCTGATGTCTCCAGCCTGGCCTTGTCCTCGAGAGCAATGAGTTTTTCAGAAGCAGATCCCCTAGACCAGTGCTCTTCTGCCTTGCTTGCACCTGTGGACTGGGGAAAACAGGAGAAATGTTTTTGCAGAATCGCCAAGACTGAAACAAAACTCACTGTAGCTTGGCATCATGGAGCCACCACGTGATGGGGTGGGGGTGGGGTGGGGATTTTAGTGGGCCACCGGGAAATTTTTAATGGACTGGTCTTCTACACATGCTGAAGGACAGAGCCTCACATGAGTGTTTCTAGACTTTTTCTGTCATCTACTTCCCACTTTGTTTCCTTCCTTGTGTACTCCCCCCTCCTTCCCCACCTCCCTACCAGTTGGTTCCCTGGTCTTAAGTCCTGGTCCTCCATTTTTTTAAATTTATGTATCTATTTTATCTCATTATTTATGCAAACTCAAATGATCTTCTGTTTTCTACCAGCATATATATGTATTTAAACACATACATATTCTTATAATTTATGCATAAGTGCTTACATACACATCACACACATATGATATTTTAATACCCATCAGAAAAAATAAGTTTATATTATATATTTCAAATGATCAAGATATCATTTCCCTGGAGAACTCAACAGAAGAGATGTGTTTTTCTTTTCTTTTTTTCCCCCCTATTTTAACCCAGTAGATAATTTCCCGTTTTTCATTATTATTCTTTTCTTATTTTCTTATTTATTTTAAAATTGTTATTATTTTTATTGAATCACAGTGAATACACAATTACAAAGTTGTTCGTGATTGGATTTCAGTTATATAATGTTCCAACACCCATCCCTTTACCAGTGTACATTTTCCACCACCAGTGTCCTTAGTTTCCCTCCTACCGCCCCACCCCCACCCCTACCCCACCAGCTCCATTTAGGCCATTTGCACCTGTGGCCTCCTTGGAATATCCAAATGGCCCCTGGGTGAGAAACACTGCCTTAGATAACCAGCATCTCCTCTGTACATGGGGTTTCCACAAAGCAGGGAGGAGCATCGTTTCCTCTTGCTCCTAGGCGCCCTTGTGCAATAAAATCAGTTCAGGGAGTTTCACTGATTTTGCAAGGCTTCCCAAACTTCCCCCGATGCACACACTTGGCCAGGAAGGAATCCTGCTGCTAGCAGGCGGTGTGGAGTCACAGAGTTAGGCAATCAGGGGCCCCGCTCCACAGTCCTCCCTCTCTCAACTTCCCTATATCCTGAGCTCGAGACAATAGAATAATTCCTCCCTAGGTTTCTTTGAAAATTACAAAGTGATTCCCAATTGCTTCTGTCACAAGTTCTGATTCTGTATTCTCTAAAAATAACCAAACTTGAGGCCAGAGAGATAGTACAGTGGGAGGGCACTTGCCTTGTACATGTTGGACCCAGGTTCAATCTCTAGCACCACGTATGGTTCCCCAACCCTCCAGGAGAGAGCCCTGAGCACAGAGCCAGAGGTAAGCACACCTGGTTGTGGCGCAATCCACCCCCACTCCCCACCTAGCCAAAGAATAAAACATCAAACTTTGGTTGTTACCCCCCCACCCCACCCCGGAAGGATTAGTGGTTGTTTTGGTTCTTTTTTGGCTCCACATTCGAAAATGTTGTTGTTTGCAGTATATTTGTTCATTATGTGAACATGTCATTTAATTCTTAGTATATAAATAAACTTTACTTTTAAAAATCTATCATCAAATCCAAAGTTTTTAGGGGGTCCAGGAGCCACTCCTGGGTGACCTTCAGTCCAGCTGAGAACTCTACAAAAAAACAATTGACTTTGTATGTGTGTAGTGTGTGTGTGTTGTGGGGAGGGGGGAGGTGGCAGAACACTCCTGAAAATTCTGGGGACTGGCTAGGACCAAACCCCATGCTCTGCTGTCTTTTGAGCTATCTCCCTTCCACCCCCTCCCACCCACCTCGCTCAACCAAGTACCTCAGGGATATCTTTATATTCTTTCCTGTATTTCTTGAACTTTGAATTTTGACTACTGCAACTAAAGCAACATTTATATGACACACCAGGTCACACTTTCTTTCTTGTTTTTTTCTTTTCAAAGAAAATAAGTGTGGAATTATTACCTTTTTTTTCAGTGTTACATTGAAAAGATTCAGTTTTGGGGGTGGACGTATACTACAGTGGGTAAAAAGCTTGCCTTGCATGTGGCCTACCTAGGTTTGATCCTTAATACCCCATATACTCCTTACAACCATGAGTAATTCCTGAGCACAGAACCAACCAAGAGTAAAGGCTGACTACCAGGTAAGGCCTCAAAACAAAACCAATGAACAATAAAAGATGCAGTTATTCTGAATTTTTCAGTTTAATTAAACTCTTGTAAAGTATTTCTATTGTAAATTATGAAACAATACTGTATCCTAGATATATATTTGAAATAAATAGACAGTTTATTATGGGTACAATTTGTTTATTTTTTTAATATTTTTTGTTTATTATTTTGGGCCATACCCAGCAATGCTGAGGGGTTACTCCTGTCTCTGAAGTCATACGCCTGACAGTACTCAGGAGACCATATGGGATGTCGAAGATCAAAGCCAAACCCAGATTGGGCATGTGCAAAGCAAGCACTTTACCCACTGTATCTATCTACATATTTATATAGATATAGATATCTATACATATTTATACATATACTATACATATCTATATCTATATCAATATCTCTCTGTCACCCACAATTTCTGTTTAGAAAGTACATCACTATATTCTGTTCCTCAATCATTAAGTATGATTGAAGATCTCTAGCAGCAATCTCAAATTCCTTAATCTGCAGAACAAGACTTGTTACGTTAAAGAAAAATAATCATCAGAGGAAGAAGCATCATGCCCAACTTCTCATTTTTACCGGTTGAAACCTGCACACTTCGGTCTTTCACTTCTTAGAAATGAGGCCGTTTTCATTTCTCGAGAAAGCCAATGGTCGCTTTTAGTAAATAGGGTTGAGGATCCATGACTAGGCAGAAGCTGATGGTGTCCTCATGTCTACCGCTGTTTTTTGAAGAGTAGAGGACAGTATGGAGGACAGGGTCATCCGCCCCTCCCCAAGCTTATGGGACACAGCAACAGGATGGAGTCTGATGGCAGGGAAATGACAGGGCAGATCCCTAACCTGGTCTCCGGGCTGGGTCGTACCAGGAGAATGTGGCCAGGGAATCCAAACCAGCAGAGGGAAAGGCAGCAGAGGTGAAGGTGGTGAGAGGGGGCACCTATTACCATAGGAGGGGAGGTGGCAGGGAGGGAGGGCTCTTAGGAGACACTCACAGGAGTTTTAGGGTCCTGCGCTTCCTTTCCCAGCCTAACTCACACTGCACGTGGGCAGCCAACTGTTTCCTCTGGTGCCCACACTTGCCTTCACCATCTCAACCTAGCCAGGACTGTAGGGGCAGGAGAAGTGGCTCAAGAGGGAGGCCTGCACGTTACAGAACTGAATTTAGTTGGGGATGTGGCTCTCGGCGGTTAAAGTGCATGCAAGAGTTGTATGCGGGCTACCAGGGTTTGTTCCCTGGCACTGCAAAGCAGTAAATAAAAATAAAACAAACGGGAACCAAAAACCAAACTGGGGTTACCATGAATTTGCCTTTGACTGTGCAGAGAGAAGTCTTCTAAGAAAGGACCCTCCTGGGTTACAGAGGGTGGCACTTCCAGTTTTCTGAAAACAGTCTGAGGATAGGCGACAGGCAAACAGATCATGGAGCAGCTGTTTCAACCACTTACTGCAAAGTCATCAGACTTATCTTCCTCCCTTCCCCTCCCTCTTTCTCCTCCCCACCCAACATCAGAGATAACTGTGCTTTTGTATTATTTTCTGTTGGTTAACAACAAAACAACCAAATTTCCTTTGGTCTTAGTAGAATTTTTTTTTTCTTTTTGGGTCATACCCAATGATGCACAGGGGTTACTCCTGGCTCATACACTCAGGAATTACTCCTGGCAGTGCTTAGGGGACCATATAGAATGCTGGGAATTGAATCCAGGTTGGCCACATGCAAGGCAAATGCCCTAACTGCTGTTCTATCACTCCACTGCTATACTACCCTTAGTAGAAAATTTAGTCCTAAAGAACAAAACCAAAAATGCCACTTTTCCAAGAGAGAGAGAACTCTTTCATCAAAGAGAACTCTTGATTAATTTAGTTTTTTTTCTTTATTTCCCTTTTAAACTCTTGATTTATTTATCTAACCATGTTATTTTTTTTCAATTTATATTTTGGGGGTACTTGGGGCTAGGTCCAGTCCAGTTCTCGGGGGACCTATGACAGTTTACATGCGAAACACGTGCTACAGCCCCTCTGAGCTATGTCCCCAGCCCCAACCATTTTTGTTGTGGTAACACACACACACACACACAAATTTTATTCCAGGGGATAAATCACATTTAAATATTATTTTCAATGTTAGTATTTTGCATTTCATGACTTTGTACGAAAACAAAGTCATAGCTCATTTGGAATCATTGTTTCGCCCTGTCTTTTATATGCCCCGTCCCCCCCTTTTTTTTTCTTGTTGTGTTCTGGGCCACAGCTAGCAGTGTTGAGGGATTACTTCTGGCTCTGTGCTCAGAGGACTGTAAGTGGTGCTGGGGATTAAACCCAAGGCAAGTGCCCTACCCGTTGTATAGTTCTCTTGCCCAGTACCCCACTTCTCCCTTTTTGCCATACCTGGCTGTGCTCAGAGACCATTCCCAGCAAGTATGTGGTTAATGGGATTGAATCTGGAGCTCCCACATGGAAAGTATGTGCCCCTTTGGTTTTACAGAGCTATCATATAGATAACTGTAGTTTAGAGTATGGTTAGGAGCAAGCCGATGAGTCAGATTCTAATGAAGAGTATTATTTTGTATGAATTAGTTTGCTTTGAGGCTGGAGAGATAGTACAGCAGGGTAAGGCATTCAATCCCTGGCACTACATACAGTTCCTTGAGCACTGTCAGAAGTGATTCCTGAAAACGGAGCCAGTAAGAGACCCTGAGCACTGCCAGGTGTGAATTCAACTTATAAGGGAACATATATCAGAACACACCTACACTTCAATCCCAAGTGGACCGTGAGCATCTTCCATGTCTGGAATGTTGAAAGTAGATGACATTCAGCCCACTCAGAAGTTGAAGGGCCTGAGAGATAGTACAGTGGGCTTGGCATTTGCCTGGCATATGGCCAACCTGGGTTCAATCTTTGATACCCCAAATGGTCCCCTGAACATTTCTAGGAGTTTTCCCTGAGCCAAGAGTAATCCTGGAGCACTGCTGGATGTGACTTCAAAACCTTTCAAGAAGAGAAAAAGAAATTCCTTCTTGGAATAAAACTTGAAGTAAACTGGAAATAAACTTGAATCCCTTCTTTAAATAAACCTGGGTTTCAAATTTTCTGAAAAGGCTGCCAAGGTGGCTGGTGGACCTCATTGGTGCCCGTCAGAGGCAGAACCCAATAGTCTTGTCCCAGGCCCCTCTGTGCCTCTCAGCCTCCCTGTGTTTGAGACAGGCACAAGCAAAGACCTACCTGGGGCAGTGTGAAGACCCAGGGAGCGAATCGCTAGTGTGAGTACACTTAGCCCTAAAAAGAAGCTGGTCTGCCCCATGCCTCGTCCTGATTAGCAACTGTACATATGTTCTCTTCACAGACAGAGGCTGCGATGGATGCTGCCCATAAGCAGAGGCACTCTCAATTCAAGAAAACTATGGAAGTGAGTACCATTTTATTGGTTTGTCTTTTTGGTGGGCTGGAGCAATAGCACAGTGGGTAGGGCGTTTGCCTTGCACACAGCCAACATGACTGACCGTAGTTCAATTCCTCCGCCCCTCTTGGAGAGCCCAGCAAGCTACCAAGAGTATCTCGCCCACACGGCAAAGCCTGGCAAGCTACCCGTGACATATTCGATATGCCAAACAGAGTAACAAGTCTCATAATGTTACTGGACCCGCTCGAGCTAGTTGATGAACAACGGAAGAACAGTGACGGTGACAGTCTTTTTGGTAATGGTGACACATTTTTCTAAAATTCATGTTCTGTGCACATGTGTATGCAGCAACCTTTTGGTAACTGCGGGAGACACTTAGAAAACACCACCAGTATGGTCTGGCCCTGCTCCCTGGAAAGCCATGAAAAGGGTCAGTGTGGAAGTGCTGTGATGCTGTGCTTTCTCAGGTTCCAGAAAGATTAAAAAAAAAAACCAACAGCTGGCTATGCTAGGGTGCAGCTCAGTGATAGAGTGCATGGTTCATAAGAGGGAGGCCCTGGGCACCACCCTGCACCCTGGCACCACAAAAGGAAGTTCAGGGCCCATAGAGATAACGGGGGTTATCTGGCAGGCAGCTCACCTCGATTCAAACCCTGGCACTGCACATGATCCCCTGAGCATACCCAGGAGTGACCCCTGAACACAGAACCAGAATTAGTCCCTGAGTATAGTTGGGTGTGGCTCAAACTGCCACTTCCCTCTCCCCCCTCCTGCTCTCCCCTCCCCGCCAATTTTTGGTCAAGACCATTTATGGGGTGGGGGGACTAGAGAGAAGCACAGTGGGTAAGGCACTTGTCTTGCACCCTGGGTTTGATCCCCAATACCATGTATGACCCCTTGAACCAGGAGTGTGCCCTGAGCACTACCAGGTGTGGCTCAAAATAGAAATAAATCAAATAAAAAAGAAGTATATTGTTTGATTGAAGTATATTGTCTTGTTGGATTTAAGCTTTCCTCCGTGACTATTTTAAATCTTGACTTCTTACCCTGTTTTACTATGTAGTACCTTCTTATTTTAAGATATCTGAAAAAATATGAAAGTTTCTTTTCTTTATGGGAAATTGAAAAAACAAAACAAGGCAGAACTAGGAGTCAGAGAGATAACTCAAAGGGCTGGAGCAGCGACTTCCCTTGTCGGAGATCTGGGTTCAATCCTGGCACCCCAAGGTGCCCTGATAGGTGTCACCACCCTGCCAATCAGTGAGCTGGGAGTCTAAAGGTCACCCCAACCCCAATCCCAGTAGGGACAGGTTTTTAGGGAGTTTGATGACTTTCTAGGGTGCTGACTGCTCTGGACTGAGTGAGTTCTGCTATGGGAGCATCTCTGATTCTCTTCTGAGTCTGGTGATGGCCTCTGACTGATTTAAGTTTTATTTACATTTCATTTTATTTGGGGATTACAGGGACACACCAAGGGTGCATAGCAGCTACTCCAGCACTGTGCTTGGGGGTCACTCTGGTCATGCTCAGGGCTCTGTGCTAGGGACCAACCTTGAGCCTACAGCAGGCAACACCTCCATGCAACCCACTGAGTTTCCTCTCTGGCCATAGCTACTTTTAAACCATCTAAAACAATAATTGAAATAAAAAAGGAAAGTGCCTAGCCTTGCGTGGCAGAGAGGGGGCAGGTGACAAGCACCTTGTCACTGAGGCCCACTGCTACAAGCAGGCTCATTTGAAGACTGAAGCAGAAGTCTAGTTCCCATGGCCAAGTGGCAAAGTGACTCTCTGTAAGTCCTGACCATCATGAATGTGACAGGGGTGCTGGGTGACACATTCACAGTGGCACCAGCATTTTAATCTTGCCTGTTTCAGATTTCCTCTTGGGTTTTCATTCTATTGTTTTGTGTGCGCATGCTCTCTCTCTCTCTCTCTCTCTCTCTCACTTTTGGACCACATTGGCAGTGCTTAGAGCCTACGTAACCTGGCTCTGTGCTCAGGGAACTGTATGCAGTACCAAGTTGGCTATATGCAAGGCAACCTCCCTACCTGCTAAACTATCTTTCTGACCCCTTTCTCTCTCTATTCTTTCTTTCTTCTTTCTTTCTTTCTTTCTTTCTTTCTTTCTTTCTTTCTTCCTTCCTTCCTTCCTTCCTTCCTTCCTTCCTTCCTTCCTTCCTTCCTTTCTTCCTCCCTCCCTCTTTCTTTCTTTCTTTCTTTCTTTCTTTCTTTCTTTCTTTCTTTCTTTCTTTCTTTCTTGTTTTTGGCCTATACCCAACGATGTGCACTACTTACTCCTGGTACTGCACTCAAGAATCACTCCTGGCAGTGCTTGATGGACCATATGGGATACTGGGGATCAAACCCGGGTTGGCTGCATGCAAAGCAAGTGCCCTACCCACTGTACTATCTCTCTGGCCCATCTATTTCTTTCTTAAACAATTGAAACATCTCATATGTTTGGTGCTAGTCAGAGAGGGGATAGACACCCTCCCCTTCCAACACACACACACACACACACACACATAGCCCATCTCAGTGGAAACTTCCTCTCCACAGCCTGACTTGAGAGCCTTCGGGGCCACTCTCTCGGGTCATGATCTGCTCACCTGTTTAGATTTTCTTTTGGCTCCTACCCACAAAGGCAAAGAAGATATATGAACAGAAATGCCGTGACAAGGACGAGGCGGAGCAGGCCGTCCACCGAAATGCCAACCTGGTAAACCAGAAGCAACAGGAAAAGGTACCTGGGAACCTCGAGCCTGGAACCATCAGAGCCTGGTCTTGCCAAGCTGATGCTGATCCATGAATGCATGTAACTGTGGGTCTGTACCCCATGCTTCTGGCAGCATCTTTCTTCAGGCTTCTTGGGGAAAGGGTCTCTGAACTACAAAAAACCCTGGTCACACTTTGGGATTGGGAATGAGTTACTCTCCTCTCTATTAAAAACCATTTTTTTTGTTTTTAAAAATTTTTTATTAGTGATACACCGTGAGGTACAGTTGTAGACTTACAAATTTTTGTGCTTGGGTTTCAGTTATACAATGATTGAGTACCACCCATCCCTCCACCAGTGCCCATTTTCCACTACCACTGATACCAGTATCCCTCCCAAAACCGTTTTTAAAAAACAAAACATTAATGTTATCGATGGCCTCACATTCCCTCATCCTGGTTCCCTTGCTGATATTTTCATGCTTTTTCAAAACTCAGCCAAATATCTCTATAGTCAGCTGCCTCCAATTGGATTTTATAAAGGCTGCAACTGGAACACAAGGGTTTTGTCTTTAGGAGTCTATAGATAAGCTTCCAGATGGGCATTTTTCATGGTGTTAAGGTGAGAGGGAAAACTGCCTGGTTTACTCAGGAGAGAAACTGAAGTCATCCTGGAACTAACTGGAACTTGTCTTTTCATTGGTCTTCGATCTACTTTGCCTCTAGTAGCCTGGCTCAGCATTCTTGATCTCTTATATTTTCCCCTCACAGCTTTTTGTGAAACTGGCAACTTGTAAAACTGCAGTAGAAGACTCAGGTGAGTTTGCTTCCAGAAAGTGTGTGTGTGTGTGTGTGTGTGTGTGTGTGTGTGTGTGGGGTGTTGTGGAGGGTGGGGTGTTAGACAAGGATAAAGTAATTCTGTGTCTCTGAGGAAGCAAATTTTATAGGCCTTGTCTCCTCAAAATATGGACATACAGTAAAGTTAGAAAGCTATCAGGAAGGAAAAAGAAAAGAACTTTCTAGAAATGAAGCAGGTTTTTTCATCACTATCCGCTTAAATCTCACTGCTGCACATGTGACTGGCGATGTGTCCCAGGAACTGCCAACATGTCTCTTTAAAAATCCCACTTCACAGTTATGATAAAGAAGGAACCACTATGGCAATATTAGTTGGACTGGGCCAGAGCACTAGTACAGCGGGTACGGCATTTGCCTTGCATGCGGCTTACCCAGATTCGATCCCTGACATCCCATATAGTCCCCCAAGCCCCTCCAGGAGTAATTCTTGAGTGCAGAATGAGGAATAACCCCTGAGCATTGTCGGGTATGAGCCAAAAAGTAAAGTAAGTAAAAGTAAAGGCCCTCCCGTTGATCGTCGATTTGCTCGAGCGGGCCCAGTAACGTCTCCATTGGAGACTTTGTTGTTACTGTGTCTGGCATATCGAATACTCTCGGTAGCTTGCCAGGCTCTCCGAGAGGGGCGGAGGAATCGAACTCGGGTCGGCCATGTTGGCCGCTTGTAAGGCGAACGCCCTACCCGCTGTGCTATCGCTCCAGCCCAAATGTATTACCGTTGCATTGGCCAGGAAACGAACCCGGGCCTCCCGCGTGGCAGGCGAGAATTCTACCACTGAACCAAAAAATAGTTGGAAATTACCACTCTGGATAAGAACTGTGTGCTGAAATTAGGTAAAGACATCTACATGATAAGCTTTCATAACCTGTACTGTGAACCATAATGCCAATAAGAGAGAGAGAGAGAGACAGAGAGAGAGAGTGGGAGAGAGAGAGAGAAAGGAGAGAGAGAGAAAGAGAGAGAGAGAGAAAGTGCTTGTCATAAAGGCAGGCCAGGGGTGGTGGGGGATGAGAGGGAAATCTGGGGATACTGGCAGTCGGTGAAAGAAAGGACTGAAATTCAATCATAAACAACTTAGTAACTATATACTTCAAAGTGACTCAATTAAAAAAGTCCATTTTAGGGACTGGAGAGATAGTACAGGGATAAAGGCACTGGCCTTCCATGCAGCCAACTCCATGTTTATGCCTGGTAACACATATGGTTCCCAACACTCCTGAACACTCCTGAGCACTGAACCTGGAATAGCTCCTAAGCATTACTGGGTGTGGCTTCTGACAAAATAAGTAAAATGTGATAAAAGGCCCTTTTCAGTTCTGGTAATATATTATTATTATTCATTGTTGTTCTTAATATTGGGACCACACCAGCCATGCTCAGGGTTTACTTCTGGCTCTGTGCTCAGGAATTACTCCTGGCGGGGGCTCATGGAATCATACGGGGTGCTAGGTCTGCAGCATTCAAGGCAAGCACCCAACCTGCTGTACTATCTCTCCAGCCCCAGTCCTGGTAATTTTATTTGTTTGGATGCTACTCAGGAGCTGCTCTCAGCACTGTGTTACATGGAGGGCCATGAGGGGCTGGGATCAGATACAGGCTACCCATATGCAAAGTACCCCAGCCCTTCAAACTATCTACTGAGTCCTGTCCTGGCCATGCCTAACTGCTGTGAGGACAGAGCTAAGTGGTAAGGGCTGGACATTGCTATGGTTGGCCACTGCTGAAACCCGGGATCCACACCAAAGTTTGGCAAAGGGCTTGATGTCCTAAAACAGTATCAGAATACAGATAAACCTAGGAATTGTGGCCTCTTCAAACGTCTCTCTACTCCAGATTTAAGTCATGGGGCAGTCTTCGAGGGCTTGGGGTACCTTATTTCTTTCCTCCAACACCCCCACTGGGTAGTAGATATGTATAAAGATGGAAGGGGTGAGGGTGGGAGGGAATCTCAGGGATGAATCAGATGAAGGAAAACTCTCATTGAGTTCCCTGCCTCTCTCCTCTCTCTTCAGAGCATTTCTTGCCCGTTGCCAATTCAATATTTCAAGGGAAGTTTGATATTTAATGTGATTTTCACCTTTGCTGATTTCACAGCCGTACCACGAATTAATTATGGCCTTTCATGGGGGACCTTGTGGGCTCACAGCAGCTCAACAGGGCTGACTGGGAGGTGACAAAGGTGGGTCAGCTGGCAACCCCTCTCACTGGTTTCTCAACTCAGACCCCTCCCTTTCAGATAAGGCATACATGGCACACATCAACACGCTGGATAAAATTCGAGAGGAATGGCAGAATGAGCACATCAAGGCCTGTGAGGTAAGGTACTCGGAACCAGAACCGGAACTGGAAACTGGTGGCGGTGGGTGGGTGGGGGGGGGCTCCCTCCCGGGCCCTGGAGAGTCAGCTCTGAGAAAGCCCTCACTCCCTTACTATAATGCCCAAATCTGGTAGAACAGTTAGAGGGTGAGTGAGAAATCAGGAATGTAGGAGGAGAATGGAAGGAAAGAACTGGAGTTCTTACTCAAACCTCCAATGTCTGACTTTTTCCTGTCCTCACTGTGCTGTCAAGTTTTAGTCTGTCAAGTTTGTGCTGTCAAGTTTAGATTTCCCTCTAGGCATAAAACAGCTGAATCAATGAATGATTAAGTAATTACCCTTTGAGAACCTCCTCTGAACTTTCTAGGTTGTGTAAACTCAAAAAGACTGCAGCGGCTCTATAGCTCAAGCCAGTTCCCCCACCCCGGGGAGGTCGTTGGCGATGGGCAGGCGAAGGAAGGAAACAAGGGCCAGGCTGGTTGGTGTCAGTTGCAGTTTATTCCAATCCTCTCTCCAGTCACTCCTGTCTCTCCTCTGCCTCCCCCTCTGCTTCTTCCTCCCCCATGCTACTTCATTCTCCTCCTTGATCCCCCTTCATCCTCCTTTTAACTCTGGAATCAGGCTCTGGATCCCCTTTCTCCTTCTCCTTCTGAAGTTCGGATCCTGATCCCCCAGCCCACTCTTATAGTCTAGTTATATCCTCCAGCATGAGGGGTTGGGGTAACAATTACACATAGGTGTGGTCACAGTCAATAGGGGTAGAGTTCTTTCCCTTGGGGAAAGCCGCTTCTAGGAAAGATACTCTCTCAGCAGGACGATCCCTAGAGCAGAATCCCGTGGTTGTGTTTCTCCTCTCCTTTGTCCAACAAACATATAAGCATTCATAATATTAATTATTTTGTATGGATGCTGTAAGAGATACATTAAGCTTATAGAATTGCTCTCCCAGGGCCATCTTGATCTCAGACTACGGTGCTCAGGCCAGATAGTCTTTCCCACCCCTAGCAGGATCCTAGTCTCGTCGTTACTTTTGGATCATGACAGCATTTGTCTATGATCAAACTCTTAACTTATAGTTAAGAATTGTGGCACTTTGGCCTGGCCCATTTTGATACCAGGGTAGCTCATAGCCTGCCCTGGGTCCATTCAATCCCTTGTCGGGACCCTGCTTTTGGGATGCTAGGAACTAAGGGCAACTGAGGTTTAAGTCGAGAAAGCAGATGCTCAGGAGTGAATAATATTCAAAGCCAATTAAATCCTAAATTACAAAAGCATACTATTAACTGTTTTCCTGTATCTATACAAAAAGGACATTGCTTTAAAGTAAACTATTCATAAGATATAAGAAGAGGAGAAAGACAATATTTTACTCATACATATAAAATCATATTCCTCAGATTTCTGAGGAATCTGACCTTACAAGTTAATAGATTCTGATTAAGGGGAAAAGCTGATTAACTGTTTGCGGAAGAGAGCATAGAGAAGTGGTTACATATAAATGAAGGAATGGGAGTGACTCCGGAGCACTGTGATGGGTGTAACCTGATAATCCTAAGCTCCTTGTGGCAAGGGATAAAGGACAAAGCAGTGTCATCCTACACTAGCTAATAAGGAAAACAGATAGCAAGAGGGCAGACAGTCTCTGCATCTTCAGCATACAACCTCACATACAATTTCCTGGGAAAATTCAGGATGGAACTTGAAGTTTCTCTCGCCTTGTCTACACATCCTCTTAGCAATAGTTTCCAGCGTAGTCCTGGACCTGTCAGATTCAGCACTGTCGGAGATGCAGGTTTTTACACCAGACCTCCTCGATCAGAAATTGTGGGAGTTGTGTGCACAGCAAATGCCCCACATGCTATGCTATTGCTCTAGCCCCTTATAGTTTTTTATATTAAGGAAAATTTCAAACATACTTAGATAAAAGACTAGTACAATGCCTCTCTGTGCTCATCATCTAGCTTCAACAACAATGACCTTCTTGTCCATGACTGTCATTCATTCAATGATGGGGTGAGAGCCAGCATTTTGAATCTGAGAATCTGGAAGGTTGGCAGGTGGAGATGCCCATTAGGCTACTGGAAATGTAAACTGCAATTTGGGTTAGAACACTGTTGTCTGGACTTATTATTATCTCTTTATACCCATACCCAATCCCGTTTCTGTGATGATTCTGGAACCCATTTGCATTCTTGTCTGTAGTAAGGTATTATGAGCTCCTTTGGTGGTGTCCAGAGTAGCCCAAATGAAACAATACATTCCCAGTTAACTAATTTCTGTAGTCATAATCAGTGCAGACCAACTGCCCCCCCCATGAACCCCAAGAATATTCCAAGGGGGCACTCGTGAAAAGTCTCATAAATGGGAGCATAAAACAAGAGAAGGAGGTCAACCAGTAGGAAAATGGGGCCGCAGAGAGCAAAGAAGGTCACAGTGGAAACTGGTTGAGATATACCCATCTAGACAACTGGTCCCTTTCTTGACCCATATATACGTGTGATGTTTCTGTAGGTGTTTGAAGCTCAAGAATGTGAACGGATAAACTTCTTCAGGAATGCATTGTGGGTCCATGTGAATCAGCTGTCACAACAGTGTGTCAACAGTGATAACGTAAGTTTGAGGCATTCTTGGAGGACTGAGGCTCTTGCCTATTGGAACTATAGATAGTTTTTAATTCACCCCCTTATTTGTGACCCAGAGAGGCACAGTGATTTGCTTCAGGTCGCACAGTGTGTTGTTCAAAGTTCCCAGAGAATTACCTAATCTGTTTGCTCTGGGGCCATCAACTACCATGACTTTCACCTTCAGAAACTCAGATCAAGTCAAGAGAGCAGTGAAAGGATTGCTGGAGAGAGCATGTTTGTGGCAGACAGAGGGGTCCCAGCATGAATCTGAATCGCAGAGACCTCTCCAGTCTGGATGGGGTCCCTCCAGCATCAAGTACTAGCCAATTGACTCATGCCCAGGCTGATGGTCACTCCAGGAAGAAGAGTGGTCTTCAGTCCCAGTCCCAAAGCCGTGATCCGTTATTGAATTTCTTGTTTCAATGAGCATAGGATTCCCAGATCTGAGAGCATAATAATCAAAGAATCGCCAACCTACTTTGCTGAGAAATAACCACTGGTATCTTTAACAATATTTTTACTACCAGATATGACTCAGAGAAATCCCTTTATTTGAATCAGGGTCATGACTGTCTTCTGCTTTTTCCACAAAATTTGAGAGAATTAGCCTTCCCTCCAGCCTCCTGTTTGTATCAGCCCTGGGCCAGTGATTATGCTCATAACCTCTACCTGGGTTTATCTTCTTTTTGTTAGATGTATGAACAAATTCGAAAGAGTTTAGAAATGTGCAGTATTGAGAAGGACATCGAGTACTTTGTGAATCACCGCAAAACTGGGCAGGTGCCCCCAGGTGAGTAGAGCAGCCAGTGGGATTTCCTTAAGTAAATCTGTTGGTCTTATTATGTCATTGAGGACAGAAACACCGGTCCCCTAACTTGGCTTTCTGATGATTCCCCTAGCACCCATCATGTACGAGAACTTCTACTCCCCCCAGAAGAATGCAGTCCCTCCTGGAAAGGCTACTGCACCTAACATAGCAAGGTAATGACCAATTTCCTCTCAACAAAGAAAAGGATGTGATCCCACGCATCCTCAGACTCCTGTTTTCAGATGTATTTGAGTTGGAACAAACTCTGACTACAGGGCTTAGTGAGGTTGCCAGTTCTTGCGATATAGGTGTTTTTAGGACAAATGTTAGAAGGAGTTTGCCACTCCCAGTTCAATTGGGACTTTGTTGTCTGCACTTGAGTGGTCATTGTAACTCCTTAGTGATACCTGTGTTTTTCAGATAACCTGTACAAAGCAGGTGACTGCAAATCCAGTCTCCTATGAGTCAGACTTTGCCTGCCAATTTTGGCAAGATCTATAATTTAAGGGCAGTGATTATATTTAATTTTTTATTAAAAATTTAAAAAAATGATTTTGGGGGCTACACCTGGTAGTGTCTGGGTGCCACTCTTGACTCAAGGCTCTAGGGGTGCTCAGGGGACAATGCAGTGCCAGGGACTATACTCAGGCCTCCTGCATGCAACACATGCATACAGTCCCACACATTTGGAGTGGGGGCAGTTTGTGCCATACTGGCCATGCTTAGGGGCCAGTCCTGGCTCTGTCCTCAGAAGTGATCCCTGAGGATGCTTAAATGTTGCCAGGGATTGAACAGGGGTTAGCTGCTTTTAAATCCAGTGCCTTAATTCCTGTACTATCTCTGCCCCCTGCATTCGTTTTATTATTTTGTTTTACATTTTAAATGGCCAAAAATAGAAAAAAATTAAAAGGATACAATTTTGTGATACATGAAAGTTACATGGCGCTCACAATTGGCATCTAGAGTGTTCATATACAGTTGTATTACAACATGGCTGTACTAGAGTTGAATAGTGTTGTCCTGTGTGGCCTGCTATGCTTAAACTACATATGGTCTGATTCCTTACAGTCAGTTTGCTCTCTGGGGACTGGGACTGAAGTGGTGGAGCACCTGCTTTGCAGGGGAAGGATCTGGATCCAATCCCCAGCCCTAAACAGCTGCCCAAGCACTTCCGGGTACAGCCCCACAACAGTGATATGAATACATCAGTTTAGCACAACAGAGTGTCCTGTCCTCTGTAGAAAGGATCCTGACAGGTTTACACAGAGAGCCATATTGAGAGGGGAACAGTTTTGGTGCAGATGGGAAGGGCTGGGGGGTTGGATTGTGTGATCATCACTCTATTCAAGAATGTCAAACATGTTCACACACAGTTTCTGTGAAGTAGTTTATTTAAGCCTCAGCATGAGGTCCAGGCTGTTTGCATTTTCCACTGGACCTTTTAGCTCTGGGGCACTTTGCCTGCAGATCTGAGAGGCGCATATACCCTGTGGTCGATGGGGCAGGGCCCTGCCTTTCCAAACACTGCAGGGCCATAGTGTGGATTCCAGGAGCCTGTTTGTAGGTGTTAGCTTTGCTGCTCTTTTCTGGAGCCTCCAGAGCAGAAATCCTACTTGATTAATGGACAATGTGCTTGCAATGTGAAGCAGAGTATATGAGAAATTACAATGACTTCTCTGACAGACTTTGGTTTTTCTTTTTTTATAGGAGAGGACCTCATCCAATTCCTAAGAGTTTGCCAGGTATGCCACTGGAATAGGCCTTTCAAGCCTATGTCAGTCCCCCCCCCCCTCAGGTGGAAGAGATAGTAGAGTTCTGAAATAAATAAAAGAACGGAATGCGGAATAAGCCATAATACTGTTATGGCTCCGGATCCAATCATTGATGGTCTATTTTACATCTCCCAGGAAAATCAGATACTGAAGCTCCAAAACATATGTGGAAAGCATGCTTGCCTAAGAGATAATTTTGATTTGACCCAAGAGAAGATAAAAACTGAGAGCTGTTTTCTTTACATTATACACAAACATACTATTATAGCACTCACAGAGGTTCAGAGGTTCAGAATCATGTGGTGTGTGTGTGTGTGTGTGTGTGTGTGTGTGTTATTTTTAACTTTTGGGCCACACCCAGCTGACTTCAGGGCTTACTCCTGGCTTTGTGGTCAGTGATCACTCCTGGAAGGCTTGAGGGACCATATAGGATGCCAACCTGGGTTGACCTGTGTAAGGCAAACACCCTACCTGCTGTACTATCTCTCCAGCTCCTCCATACTACAAATTTCATATACTGCTCATAGGTGGATCTTTCATTAATCACTGACTTGAATGAATCCCCGTGGAACCTCTAGAAGAGCCAGTCACAATAGCAGATTCTCATTTCATAATTAGATTTCTTGCATAAGCATAAGATTCTGTATAGCAAACTTTTGGAACACTTAACATGGTCATAAGCACCTAGTACCTGCTCAGCATACTTCTGTTATTTGAGTAAAAGAAAGATATGCTTGTCTATACAAGGGAATGGAGAAGAAACAAGTTATGCTGCATATAGCTACTTGGCAAAAATTTAGTGACTGGAAAACAAAGGCTTCAGTAATGGAAAATTTGAACAATATTGTAAGGACTTAAGTTTTATTATTTTCTATTGCTTCCCAGTTACCACTTGGTAGCATGGGCTTCTTTGTTTCTATCTTTGAAGACAGAGCCACTGTGGGTACTGCCAAGTAGGCATAAATACAAAAGAGCAAAGAACTCATAGTGGTGATTTCCAGAATGTTCTCTGGTTTGAAGTTCTGGGGATGATTTGTGGGTTTTATTACCAGAACATACTTCTTTTTTAAATAAAAGGATGGACATTAGAATCTTCAAGTAGTTTAGCCTTGGTTTGAGAAGGGCTCACTTGATGATGAAGAAATATTAATGCCTCTTTGTATTTTTCCCTTTGCAGATGACCCTGAATATTCTTTGGTTGATAACTACAGCTTGATCTATCAGTAACATCTATGGTAAGAACCTTTCATTTTTACAAGTCATGTTTCATGTTGCGTTTAGACTGGTGATTGGATTTATTTAAGCACCCAAAGCCGTTTTTTATAACCTACAAACAAGCAACCTACTAACTACTATCAGGCCGGTACTCATGTATGTGAATGCACATGCATGGGTGTGTTTATGAATGTGTGTGAGTGTGTGTATGTGTGTACTTGTGTGGAAAGAGTATTGTGTGTATATGTGTGTACATGTGTGAGAGAGTATGTATATGTGTGTGTGAATGTGAGTGTGCATGTATCAGAATATATGTATGTATGTGTATGCATGTGTGTGACTGTGTATGTGTGTACTTTGTATGAGTGTATATGTGTGAGTATATATATGCATTTGCATGTGTAAGTATGTGTGTGCTTGTGTATAAGAGTATGTGTGTGAGTTTGTGAGAGTATGTATATGAATGTGTGTGTGGATTGCACAGCTAACTAAGAAAGAATTGGGCACCACTCCATACCTACTTGAATTCAGGTATTTTTTCTTTAATAATTACTCTGTTACTCATTTTCTGCTTTTGTCAAACTCTTTTATTAAATGAGTACACACCCACACTTAAGGCAATACTTCCCAACAAAACCCATATGTTTCTCATCATTTATTTACAGTCTGGCATGCTCACCACTACCCCCACCCTCAGGGGGAAAAGTCAAGTAAAAAGAAGTCAATAAAAATGAGATTAAATATATCTTGCTACAGGCACGCCCGAGCACCTATGGGGCCACCTCCCACTGGACTACTACTGCTTTGAGCAGGCAAATCACAGGGTTCCAATAGCACAGACTGAGCCGGCAGTGGCTAGTTTAAAGACTCTTCCCCTTGGTGCCTGCTGTGTGCCCTCCAGTCAGGATTGGTCCTCACAAATGTGAACAAACGCCTCCAAAGGCAAAAGGATATACTGAAGGAAATGCTTCAGAACATATTCCTATGGGGCCAGAGAGAGCACAGTGATTAAGACAGTTGCCTTGTAAGCAACTAATTTTGATTCAATCTCCTGCCTGCGCATATGGTTCCCCCAAGAATCACCAGGAGTGATCCCCGAGTGCAGTGCCAGGAATAAGGCCTGGATGTGACCTGAAAATCAAAAACCAAGTCAGAACAGAAGAAAAAAGCCCACAAATAAACTATAATTCTTTAAACCAAATTGGCATATCTTGAGGATTGGATGAAGTATGCATTTATGAGCAAAGAAAAAGTCTAAAAGGATGTATTCCTAAGCAGGCAACATATTTTCTTTTTGTTCACCCATGTCTTCTAATTGATCTACAGGCTAAAGCATTGATTCTTTAATGTAGAGCTGTTTTGTTGTTCTTGTTGTTTTTAAGCTTTTTTCAAAGATGCTTTTAGGGGCCGGAACGATAACACAACGGGTAGGGTGTTTGCCTTGCACGCAGCTGACCTGGGTTCGATTCCCGGCATCCCATATGATCCCCCAAGCACTGCCAGGAGTAATTCCTGAGTGCAGAGCCAGGAGTAACCCCTGAGCATTGCCGGGTGTGACCCCCCCCAAAAAATAAAAAGATGATTTTAATTGAATCACTGTGAGATAGACCCTTAATAAGCTGTTCTTCGTGATTAGATTTAATTAGTACAGTGTTCCAGTATCCATCCCTCCACCATGTACATTCCCAGTTTCTATCCCATCACTTCCTCTTCCCCTTCCCCCCGTCTCTTTTGGGCATTGTGGATTGCAGTACGTATACTGAAAGGTTAACATGTATATTTCTTTCCCTATTTTTAACTCTCAGTTCTTGTCAAGCGTGAGTGAGCATTTCCAACTATGATTGTCATATTGGTCTCATCTTACTTACCCCCCCCCACACAAACTTGTGGTAGAATCCATTGACCAGTCCTCCTAGGCCCTGTTTTCCCTGGCCTTGGATATTAGTCTTCTACTACATATATTTTTTAAAATATATTTTTAATATTCTACAAATGAATGCTGCTATTCTATATCTGTGAAGAGTTGTTTTAAGAGTTAGTCCTTGTGTATATTGCTGATCTTAGTGTGTTCCTGGCATGGATAGGAGGGCTAGATGGGATGCAGAAAATTGTCATGGAACCAGAACAGCTTCTCACTTACCTGTCCTGGTTTGGTATCAATGACATTTCCTGTTAGTCATAAAACAAAATAAATTTAATTGCTCCCTAATGGTTTTCCTTCAGTAGTCAATGGCATTGATAATGCTTGGTGGTGCTGGCAGTCGGGAAATTGGGAATATTGGTGATGAGAAATGTGCACTGGCAGAAGGATGGGTCTTGGAATGTTATTTGACTGAAACCCAGTCATGAACAGTTTTATAACTGTGTATCTCACGTGATTCAATTAAATATATATATTTGGGCTGGGAATGCAGTTTAAAGGTAAAGCACTTGCCTTGCCTGTCTGAGGCCCTGGGTTCCATTCCTGGCACCACTGATGATTCCCAACAGCTGCCAGAAAAGACCCCAAGCACAGCCATCTGCATTCTTTGGCCATTTGTTCTCATTTAATATACTCTTAGGGTAGGAGGTCCGGTATGAATTGTTCATTCCAATAAAAATTTCTTTGTCATCTCTTGCAGAAACAATGCTCTTTCTGACTGTGCTTCTGTGGACGGGGCACCCAGAGGCTCAGAATCTGTAGAAATGATGTCAATCCTGAAGACTTTGAAGTGAACTCTTGCTTTCATTTTTTAATATGTACAATTTATAGTAGACATTGAATCCAGTGTACGCTAGTAGAGTTTGCAGTTTTTGCAAACTGCCCCAGGCTGTAAACGATCCTTTCCTGATCAGTCCCTTTTAGGTTGTGAATGAAGTGTGTGTGTGTGTGTGTGTGTGTGTGTGTGTGTGTGTGTGTGTGTGTGTGTCTTCCCCACTTGACCCAGGAAAGTCTAGGATTTAGAGCCTGAAGCTTGTTGAGAGGTTGGGAGGAGCAGAACAGATGGGCAGCAGGAGGCTCTGAACCATCAACTTGCAAAAGCTCCTTCAGCTTGCACAGCAGCCAAAGGACTGTGCACCATGACCCATCCTCTCAGTGGTGCAAGATTTACTGTCACCACCCTTTCTGGCCGTGGCCTTGGAGACCATCTGTGTCATTGTTCATCAACTTTTTTATACCTGTGGGCCAGAACCTCTGTCCACACAGGTTCATGGATGAGCATTTCTAACTGAGGCAGCAGATCAGTGCTTTTGTAGCTTTCTACACCCCACCCAACAACATCATCCCCTGGACTTCTGGTTGAAGAATGCTGATCTGCATGGTGGTGCCTTCTCATTTTTCAGATGAGGAGATAAACCCCAGGAGTGGGCAATCCCTTCCTGCATTCTTTTCCCTGCGGATTCGGGCCAGAACCTTAACTGGAGGGTGAGCTCACCCTTCACCTCACCCTTCCTGAGGCTGTGATGGGGCTGTTGAAATGTAAGATGTCCCGTGCTGTGGCCAGCATCTTTTCAGCTGGAGAAAGTACTGGACTATAAATGTCAAGTTTATTTTTATCTGGCTTCTGTGTGTGCTGCGCCCTGGAGCAGGCTGTTTCATCTAATCACAGCAGCCAGGGACCAGAAGCCAGGAACCTATTTTTGGTACCCTAGAGAGTTGGGTGGGGGAGTGGACAGCTGTAACCCTGAATGGCAAAGGATATTTGAACTCAAAATGCTGAAGTGTGGGGGTCACCTAGCTGCACATCCTCAAGTCCATGAGACGTGGAATTTTGATATTATTTCTGGAGACTTTTAGAGGGCCAGTGCCAGCCCTTGCACCTGAATCTTCAGTGAGAAACACTGCCCTCACCAACTCTGAAATCTATTCAAGTGTCCATCCTAACCTTCTATGAATATCTGACACTTTCTTTGGTCACCTGCAGACAGCTTGACTCTGGGGAGCACGCGCTGGGTGTGTTTTGATTAGAGGCTTGTTCACGCTGCAGCAGTACATACCCTACAGCGTGACCCCACAAGAACGGCCAGCTTCCTCTCCTGCTCATTGCAACTCCCTTCCTGAGACATTGTCTGCTTTGCTTGGAAGATGCTGTCCCTCTTTCATGTATTCTGCTACCAAAAGTGACAGCCTCTAGTTAGGACAGGAAGCTTGCACCATCGGTTGGTTATCCTTTTGAGAAACTGCAGTTTGCTAAGGGCCACTGACTTCCCCAAATGGAGCAGACTCAGGAAATTTTCCTTTGAACTTAGAACTGTCGCCTTTAGTTTATTTATTGCTAGCAACTCCTCAGGGGTTTTGCACATCTCTCTGCCGGGTGTGTAATGGATGGGAAAGTGTCAGATGAATGGAAATTGAGGTTCTGTGGGTCTTTCAGTTTGATTGGAAGTCAAATAAAGGTTCATGGTGATTGGGAATTTCCTTTGCATTTTTTGGCGGTCACTTTCTCTCTTCAGCTCCGATTGAGCCATTTAGCATTTGATTTTGTGACACAGCAAGAAGACAACCTGCTTGCTCTAAAGACCACATAGTACAGGGGCGGGCACTTCCCACTAGTCTGTTAGCCAGCTGCAAGGTCATTTCCTTGCAAGATCATGGTCCTTAGCACCATGGCCACTGACAGTAGTACAACTTGATGTTGCTTACTGGGAGAGTTTTTCTTCCCCACTGATTTTTATTTATTATTATTATTTTCTTTTTTGGTGGGGAGCCATACCCAGCTGTGTTCAGGGATCCTTCCTGGCTGTGCTTAAGGGATCATATGGTTCTCGGGATCAAACTGGAATTGGCTGCATGCAAAGCAAGTGCCTTAACCCCTATTCTATTTCTCCAGCTCTCCACTGATGCACAAATGCTAGTAGCAGCATTTGTTCATAACATTCCATAGATTTCTGGTGTACAGACTTACATCAACATCTGTATAGACCACACATGCTCGTCTCTAGCAGTCCAGCTTCCATCTGTCAATCACTACAATTTTTCTTTTTTTTTCTTTTTTGGGTTATATCCAGTGATGCACAGGAGTTACTCCTGGATCTTCAC